CAAACCTGTTATTTTTACCTTCTTTGGCTTTTTTCCTCCTTGCCAGCGTGCCGCCAAGTTTGCCCAGGAAGGAGTCATCTTTCTTTCTGGACGGCGGCGATTTCGGGGTGGGGGACTTGGGAGAAGACGGGGACTTCTGGGGGGAGCTTGCCATGGTGGTCCCGGCCCCGCTGCCGCTCAGGGATGAAGGGAGACAGGTCTGAAGCCCAGGCGAAGTGGGAGGCTGGTCCCAGCTCTAAACGGAAGCGGAATTATTTCAGGCATTTGAGGCAGCTCCTGCTCCACTCTCTCCGGCTCTCCCTCTCCTTCCCTCCCTCCCGCCCGCCCTCCCGCTCGCTCCGCGCCCGCCGGGGAGGGCCGCACTGCCCTCGCCTCGCCCGGACGGCGCCGTTTACCCCAACGGCTCTCCCTGTCCGCCCGTGCCCTTTACCGCAACGGCCTCCCCCGCCAACGGCTCTCCGTGTCCACCCGGGCGGCTTAACTCAACGCTCCCTGCGCCCATTCGCGCTGTTTACCCCTAACGGCCCGAGCGGTTTAGTTCAAGGGCTCTCACTACCCAACGGTTCCAACGCGCCCTTTACCGCAGTCAGTGCCCCCCGCCCCGGCCGTTTATCCTAACGGTCACTGCCATTGCCCTAACGGCCCCAACTGTCCACCCGGGCCGTTTACCTCAAGGCCCCCACTGCCCAAGGGCTCCCCCCTCCGTCTCCCGGATCCCAGTGCGGGGCAACAGAGCCAGGCCCAGGGCTGAAGTGACTGGAATTCATCTGGCCGCAGCACAGGCGGATATTTCCACACTGCACGATCACGACTAATAAATGAGAAAGAACTAAATCATTAATAAAGTGCCTTTAAATAACTGCAAGCAGGCTCAAGAGCAGGTTACCACATACAGTTGGGCCTTGAGTCGACTGAGGGGAGCAGGTTGGCTCTGTAGGGTTCCATTACATGCGTCATGAGAGGTGGCATCATGTTATCCCTTTATACAAAAGAAGCCTACCTTTATAAATAAAAATATGAGAAAGGTTATTTAGCACAATAAACCACTGCCTGTACCAATCTTCTGCTGATCTGCAGATGAGTAGCTTAGGAGGAAAATGTCTTTAAAAGCAGTAACTTGCTGTGACTGATAGTTGGTCCAGGAGACACCTAGAACAGCATTAATGTCATCTGGATGTACTACCATCAGTCCCCACTTAATCACTCAATTAACAATTTAGGCAAAAAGCCACCCATACTTCATGCAAATATCTAGCTATCCATTAGCCATAACAAGAGAAATGAAATTACCATGAGGGTATTTCTAAATCAGCTAATAATTGTTGTTTTTACAAGCCAGTAACAATGGTTATCTGATGAGGGATAGACACCAATGAGTATTTGTTGTGTGCAGCTAGCATATGC